TCCGCTCCCCAAGGACACACCTCTCACCGCTGAGCCAAGTGCGGGGGCTGCCAAGAGAGCCATTCTTAAAGCCAGGGAGAGGGGGCTCTAGGGGGAGAATGCCAGCATTTCATGACTAACTTGGACATCTGCGTATGCAGTTGCCTTGCCAGTTCACTTACTGTATCTATTTGAACTGAGGGAAAAAAGGGACGTGGAGAGAGGGCACGGCCCCGGGGCCACTTGCAAGCTTTTGTCTGTGGGCCAAGGGAACTCAGGGGAAGTAGCCAGTTAGTGCAATCTTGCCATATTCCGTGCACGAGGGCTGGCTGCTGACCGAGCAGAGCCCAGCAGCAGTAGGGTGGGTGGTAGTGTTGGAGAAGGGGGGGGTGGGTGTTACACGTATAAGATCTTACTGGAGCTGGATCGCCTATACCATTAGCTTGGAAAGGCCCCCAAAGGGCCTTCTGAAAACTGCTATATGGACGCCTACCATACCGGGAGCTTCAGCCTGCCAGTCAACCTTAACCAGAGGAAGAGAAAATCTTTCACAGAAGAAGGATGAAAACCTCACTATTAAATGTGAGAAACTTGGCCTTTTCTTCTCCTTCCTCCCTGCCCCACATCTCCTCAAGTTGTTGTAGCCTGGAAAAGGGAGACAGAGATGGTGTCCCAGAGGCAAAGCAAACCCCACCCTCCCATTCTAAGACCTTCTCCTAACTGATGATGTCAAAGGGGATACTTTGTCTCAGGCTTGAGACTGAATTTTTGTAACAAGGAGTCACTTGTGTTTTGTTGTCATTTTTTTTTTTTTTTTCACAGAAAAACTGACCAAAGGTCATGGTATCTGTCCAGAGAAAAGAGAATTTTGACAAAACTTAAGCAACTGGAGACGGAAACATTGTTACTTTCACGTGTATGCCCGCAGGCCAAGTTCAGACTAGTCAGTAAACTCATTATTCAGTTTAAAAAACAATGTGATATTGATGTTAAGGAAAAGTGGCCCCTTAAAGTGGTCACAAGTAAAAAGTGAAGGAGGAAGACAATATATGTACACTTTGCATTCTATTTTTTTTTTTTTAATGTTTATTTGCTTATTTTGAAAGAGAGAGTGAGCGTGAGCAGGGGAGGGGCAGAGAGAAAAGGAGAGATTCCCAAGCAGGTTCTGCACTGTCAGCACAGAGCCTGACTTGGGGCTCTAACCCACAGACCATGAGATCATGACCTGAGACGAAACCAGGAGTCAGACACTCAACCGACTGAGCCACCCAGGTGCCCCTGAATTGTATTTTTGAATAATGGAAGACCCTGAATTGAGAAACAAACTATACTGGCATACTATGCATGTACTTAGTAGAGTAGATTTATGGTATGTTACAGGATAGAAACATGGATTTTAGAGTTAGAAAGACCTGGCTTCAAATCCCAGCTCTGCCATTTGCTACCTCTGTGACTCCTTAGAATCCTCATGAAAAATGGCCACAATGATGCCTTCTAACAGTGTTAGTGTAAGGATTAAAGAGGAACTATGATAAGCATAATATGTAGGAGGTCACCGTGTTCAAAAATGGTTAGCATTTTTTCCTTCATCATTTATTTATCATTACCATGCATTATCACGGATGTTTACTGAGAGGATATGAATAACATCAATAGAAATAACAGCACTGGTTAAAATATATTTCAGTTGAAATTTGGGTTTATAGAAAAGCCCAGAACAATTCATGTTTCAGGGTGAACAAAGTTCTTCAAAACAGCTAGCATTTGGCAATAATTTAGGTCCCCTAGTTTAGGGACTACATTCCAGGTACAAATACGAATGCTTTGGGATTTGCCCCACTATCTATGCCGTATCACAGTGCGTCAGGGCTAGAAGGGCACTTAGGGAGGAAAGTAAGGCCCAAAGAGGGTAAATGATTTGCCCAGGGACAGTCTGGTTGCATCTCACCCCCACTGGTCCTTCATACCCCCTGTCTATTAATTTGTTGGCTGTTGCAGTCATAGCATACATTTCGGGGCCTCTAAATTTTATCTTTGTCTTTTAAGAAAGACACCTAACAAAGGTATCAGCCTGTTTCCTCTACTCTTCATGCTTCTCCTTGGGAGAGTCCCTGGCAACGGTCACATGCACGCGAGCCAGACGGTTCAGTACAACCTGACATCGCACTGAATTGCCAGAAAAGGATTTCATTTCATGACAGTCTATTTGATTTGTAGTCCCTGTTCCTTTCCATTTTTCTCTTCATTCATTACTCCTCCCGTGGAGAGTGGGTGGCAGATAGGAACAACTTGCCGAATTTGGTGCATTTCATTTTGTTCCCTTTTAGAAGTTCTTACAATGGTTTTCCTGAGGAAAATCAATTAACTATTGACATAAATACTATTTGGGGATCAATTATAATTCCAATTAACTGTGCCATCTGGGTGGCTTATTACCACTTCTGGGAAACATTTGTAATGGTGAGACAGGGTGCCTCCTGTCCTCATGTTTATGCATTTTCCAGTCTGTGATCTATCTTCAGACCTTGCCCCTGGACCTCCAAGATCCAAGAACTAGCCTCCTGTTGGTCACACCTTGCCCCTGGACCCCCAAGATCCAAGAACTAGCCTCCTGTTGGTTACCCCCGTCTCTATCTTCCCAGAACCATTTTCCTGGCCACTGAGGTCTTAACCACTTCTCTCCCCACTGCAAGAAGGAATATTTACTAATTGCATTATTGTATATCCCTCCCCTAAGTGCTTTCTGTGGATCATTAAACCCCTGGAGGTAGACAAGATGGCCGTCCTCAAAAAGGAGGAACCTGAATTTCCAACAAGAAAAGCACTTTGCTCACCGCCACAGAGGATTCAAACCCAGGTGTGTGTGACAAAGGCACGGCTTCTTCATCTCAACTGCTATGAGTCTCTCTCACAGCCAGGCTCCTGGCGGGCTCCGAACAGTCTTCTCATGAGGTTAACAAGCTAGAGAAACCCCACACATTTTCTGCATCTTTTACAAAATGAAGATCCCCAGGGATATTCCCCCACCACCCCACCCTGACTGGCTGAATCAGAATCACTACAGGTAAGACCCAGGAACCAGGACTTGAACACTTGTCATACTTGAAAAAGTTTGAGATCAGCCGCCCTGTGTTTTTGATGCCAACCGTCCTTTAACAAACCTTTCCTGGAGACAATGCCCTGCCCCCTGGTGGCCTAACCCAAAAGTGTGACTGCCGTAATGAGGGGTTTGAGGGAATTCTTGATGATACACTCACTGATTACCTTTTGACGGACAAATTATTTGATTGGGTTTCAGCTGCCTCTGTCTGAGTTCTGCTTACTTTATTCAGGCCCATCACACAGAAAGTACCTGAAAGCAATTGGCTTGCTGACTTGTTTCTTGTTTGTTTGTTTGTTTTGTAGCAGCTACAAAGAGAGATCGGTTTTTGTTCAATAAATGTTTGATTGTTTATTCTTTGCAGATGATACGGAGCTAAGGACAGAGCTCCTGTCCTTAGAAAGACTAGTGTAGGGGCGCCTGGGTGGCGCAGTCGGTTAAGCGTCCAACTTCAGCCAGGTTACGATCTTGCGGTCCGTGAGTTCGAGCCCCGCGTCGGGCTCTGGGCTGATGGCTCAGAGCCTGGAGCCTGTTTCTGATTCTGTGTCTCCCTCTCTCCCTGCCCCTCCCCCGTTCATGCTCTGTCTCTCTCTGTCCCAAAAATAAATAAACGTTGAAAAAAATTTTTAAATAAAGAAAGACTAGTGTATATATAGATAAGAAAATACCCAATTCTTTTCCCTAAACACACACACACACACAGACAAACACACATACACACACACACACACACAGAAAGAGAGAGAGTTTCCATGAGCTGCTTTGCTCTGCCTTCATCATTAGGATACCATGTTTGAGCTCTAGTGCTTAGCCAGTTTAAACTTGGCTTCTCACCAGCTTTTTCCTTTCTCTTAATAAGAGCTTTCAACTTTCCAGGCCATTCTCTACTCTTTTCCCTTTTCCTGGCCATAATGTCACACTCCTGTATTTATTGGACCTTTCTGCCTGTTACCAAAAATAGCGCGCATGTCACAAACGCCACATCTGCCTTTCACAGAACACATTCCCACCACCAAATCTGCTGACCCTATAATATAAGAAAAAGTAGAAGAGATCTAGTGACAAGAACAAAAAAGAGAGACCGAGTAACAGCAAGTAGAAGCCCAAAATATTTAGGAAAGAAACCCCAAAGAGCCAATCAGCTTACTCACTAAACACTTGACTAAGGACTTCCCAGTAATAATTCCCTCAATATTTTATTTATCTTAATATATAACACTTCGTTCACTCTTGTTTGCTTCCTCCCCGCCCCACCCCCAAGAAAATAACACAAGAGGAGAATCAACCCGCGCGTTGCAAACTCAAACTTACCATAGAACTTTGGTTGGCAAATCTCAGACAGTGATTCCTCCTGGTCTCCAAGCCAGGCCACATGAGGTTGCCTGCCGTCTGCTCTACATGAATTTACAGCTCCATGCAATACCACAGGACACTGACGTTCTGAAAAAGAAATTTGATCTCATCCTGATTCATACAGCCTTTCTCCTCTTTCCTGAAGGGGGATCCCGTGTGTTTATTTTAGGACCTGGGCAAACTGTCTAGTTTCAAATACCTCACAAATAAAGAGATAGGAAAAAAAAAACCCGTAACAATTCAATAATACCTATGTGATTTTCAAGCCCCAAACAAATGGGAAATCATGGCGCTTTATTTTATAATGAATCAAGTGGGGGAAGGAAACCATTTCTTATCTGGAGTCACCCCCAAATAAATGTTTCACGGGTGGCTTTTATGGGGACACTGAGGTCTCAGAGTTTCAAATGCTGCTTACTATAACCTAACCACAAAATATACTCAGCTTGTGTTTGTTTTCAGATTAATAAGTCTAATTTAATTGGAGAGAAGTTTCCTTCCGTAGTTTCTTAAAACAAAATCGAAGACTTTTGGTTTATTTAGTGCCGTCAGCTAAACCCAGACTTACCTCAGTTTTTTCTTTGAAGCAAGACAGACATCGTTTGTGTGGTCTTTTTAACAGGGAACTATGTTAGTTTTTGTCCACATAACATTCGTTTCCAGTCCTTAGGAACAATAGAGAGAGAGAGCAAATTTGCTACATGTACAGCAACCAGCATATGAATATGTATTATGGAAAATTTTCCACACACAGAGAAAACCTCATGATTTGCTCTGGAAAACAAGTCACTTCAAAGTTGTGGAAAATAGGACCTGTTCCTTCCTTTAAGGCAAACTCTGCCGCTGATACTCAATTTGGTTTTTCTGCTTGTAACCGGCTCTCCCTGAATTACTTTGAGATGTTTGTTGTGTGTGATCAGCTGAGAGTTAATATATTGTAACCTCAAAACAAAAACACCCAAACAAAAAACCCAAACCTCTTTTTCTTGGATTTGTTCATAAAGGACAGCCATTCTTAATAAAACAAGACAAGGACAAACACAAAAACCTTTTGTTTCCCAGATCACACTTGAACTGCTTAATGATCGAGTTCCTAGAAATAAAGGCAATTTTTATAGTCATAAACACATTAGAAAACATTGAAGCCTGTATCTATTGAGATAGACCTCCTTTTTTTGCCACTATCAAATATTTAAATATTATGGAGAAAGTGGTCACAACAGTTGAAATGTACCCATACAGAAGATATCTGGTTTGTCCTATGAGTTCCTTGTAATGCAACACTATTTTCTGCCAGTAACTTGTCAAGGCTTTGTATTATGTGTTTAAAACTACATACATTAAAGAAACCACCCATGTTGGCACATTCTCCCAGTCGCCTGTATGACATCCTCTAGTTCTCCTTCAGAATCTAGTCCCCATGGGTCAGCCTGTCTGCCCTAACAGCTCCTTCCATGGCTGGGGAGCCCTCTATACACTATTTGCTCTAAAGGTCATTAGGATCGACCCCAATTCCATTTCCCCAGAGTGTCTTAAGGAGGCCTGAAAGAAATCTTTCCAACATTTGCTCTGTCCCTACCTCTCCTGTAGGGCTGGAGGTGGCTGGAGGAAGGCAGGAAGACCCGTGCAGCTGTCCTCTGCGCGATGCAGGCCTGGCATGGAGCTGGGGGAGGGCACAGTGCGAGCAGCTGGAGGAAGAGAAGGAGGAGTAATTCATGTGCCACTGCAAACATGATACAATGCCAACAAAAACACCATTCTTTTTCCCAAGAAGTTCAAAGCGCTTTGCAAACATTAACTCATGAGCCCAAGTAGTCATGGAGCAAATATTCCTTTATTATGCCCTTAGGGTAACCACTGCAAGCAAAGTCAAGAGAAAAGGGACTCTCTTCGTTGTTTCATTATTCCTCAGGTATTTATTGAACACCAACTATGTGCTGGATATGAGAGGCAGAAGAACAAACAAGACAGACATGGTCTGCGCTCCTACGGCAGCAGTGGGGGGCACGAAGCACCAGACTCGGCTGCATACGCTTCTTTATGCTTTGTGTTTGTCCAAATTGTTTAATGGAATTTGTTTCATTCTTCAGAATGTCTATAATGTGCTAAGTGCTGAGCAAACACACAACAGAAAAACTTTTTAAGCTACCTGTAAATAGCATTATGACGATAGGAATTGGGAATATCAACTCTAAGTGCTTTCTTTTAAGATACCATAAACAAAGCTTTACTGGGAGCAGTCCTGTCTCTTGCCATGTTCGTGGAATTACTGTGGTCGAACAAGGAGAGTTAAGATCAGGAACATCATACCAAGCAGTTTATATAAATAATCTGGCTTTCTAAAAATGATTAATCAGATGAGCAAGCATCTTTGGTGAAGCAGAGAGCCATTATCCACAGGTCTTCTCCTGACTCCTTTTTATTTTATGTGAAAAGATGGCTGATGGGATGCAGAAAATGACTTATGCCAGTTCTGAACCCTTCTCTTCAGTCAATGGATTCCAGATATTTTAGAGTATAGGGTTATCTAAGACTAACTAGACAAGAGTCTGGTAACTGCTTTTAAAAAATGCATGACTTTCTGATGAATCAAAAGGGAGGTAAGCCTTTATGTTTTAAAGATGTTAAGTAAGGATTCTAGTCTGTCCTGGGAGTCACTAGCTCAACCCACTTTGAGGCTGAACATAGAGGCTGTTGCACTCCTCCGTCAGCAACTTACACATATTTTAAAAGTCTAGGGAATTATAGCACCACTTTAAACCCAGCCTTCCTCCCCAGCAAACACTTCCCTACTGACAGAAACTATTAGAGTTCTAATGTTGATCTGCCACTCAAGCGTATAGGTTAACACACAAACTCAGTGAGATTCAAGCCCCATATCTTAGTCCTTAAATAGGGTCTTCATTTGGCCCCAAACTGCCTTTCCAGCCTCAACCTCCCCCTCCGTTACTCTTGTCACAGCACGTATGTCTGTGACAATATCACGCTCTGCCTTTCTGCCTTGAAGGCTGCTCCCCTGCCTCCTACTCCAACACACACACACACACACACACACACACACACACACACACACACTTTGCCCACCTGGAAAATTTTTCATTCTTCAAGATTAGATGAATTCTTTTGGTTATTTCTTCCTCAACTCCCACACCGCCACCTTATCACATATTTATTTATATAGGTCTCTAAAGCTTGAATGTCTCAGGTTTTGAGATCATATTTTATTCCTTTGTATCTTCAGCAGCTAGTATTAAATTTTTGATGAAGTTAAATTTTCTACAGAACATCAATATAGCACTTATGGAGGCTGGCAAGGTGATCAATTACACTTGGTTTTACTCTTCATCTGGAAGCACAAATGGGAGGTTTTAAAATCCTTTATTAAACAGAGTTGCTAATGAAGAGAATAAAATTAATTAAATAAAATTTTCAGTTAAAATTATTTTTGATTCAAGAGCTACTATATTATCAAACACCGTTGTCATTCAGCTTTGCACCGTTTGGATGACCAGCGACTTAAGAGCTGGGACCATATGCTACTCCAGTGGTAATAATGGCACTGAAAAGAAAGGATAGGCATGCTTACGCAATTGCTGTAGGGGACAAGAAATGACTCACCCTCAACAGCAACAACAATGCTAGTGGAAACAACTTATTTCTGGTTTCAAATCAAACAGGAGGAGAACAGGAGGGAGAGGAATAGGGAAGGACCCAGAACAAAAGAAGAAAGGAGGAAAGAGAAGGATTGGATTTCTGTAAAGAATTATTCTTAGAATTCGTCGTGGCCATTTTTCTGTTTATAAAAGTGAGAAATATAGACATTCTTAGCGGTTATACAGAACATAATGATGGGCAGTTGAAGGTAAATACTACTTAGTAAAAAGTTGCTCTGTCTCCAGAGCCACTCGCAAAAAATTATTTTAGGATATCCTGCTTTCTTTCAATATGTTTAGGAAGGTTTCTTTCATTCTCTAGACTTGAAATATTGGTATCTGTTTTCTAGTTTTACCCAAAGTCAATTTTCAGAATTCACTAAGAGTCAATGATCAAACAGTGTTGCCTGGTACTTTTGTGTGAACCTCATGTGTGTATGTATACTCTTGTATGAACCTGTGCATTATATATATATATATATATGTGTGTGTGTATGTATATATATATATATATATATATATATATATATATATCACAGTTCTGGTGGGCACAGTAAAATACTTTCATATAGATGATCAGCTGGCTCCAACCTCACAACAACATTTCAAAGTGGGTTTGGCACCTGACACATGAAGAGACTTCATTTTGGAGAGATTTAGTATCTTGCGGAATTAAACTCAAGCAGTCTGATGGTACTCCCGAAGTGTTTTCTACCCCATCAGGCCATGTGAATACTTTAAAACTTATTAGAGACACAGCTTTGGTTCTTTACATTTCTTTACAAATGTCTGCACCCCCGTTTACTGAGCAAGAAGTATACACATGATAATGATTTTTTCCTGGATACCTGGAAATCCCCTAAGAAACCAGATGTCATTGAAAGGATGTGTTCTCTGATTAATTAGACCTCATCACCATGCAAGCAAATATTTGTTTTCGGATAAAATCAAAAACTTTCCATCTAATTAATCCCTTCGCAGGCCATGCACATTCATTCTTCCCGCCATATCCAGCAGAGGGCAGGATGCTCCCACCAACAGCCGGCTCACTGGAGCCACCAATCAAACCAGCACAATTACCCAGAGCAGGGTTCCCGCATAATTAGAGCAGTTATCATTTTCTCATCTGGATCTGAAAAAGAGTTCAGGCTTGAGCTGAGAACAGGGGCTGTGGGATGGAGACTGGGGAATGTCAAGGAAAGTTTTGCTTTGGAGGCTGCCCACATTTTGTTGGGATTTGATCTTCAAGGTACCTGGAAACTAGCGAGTTCCAATTATCTTCCCAGAATAGCTTGCTGAGGAGGCCACCCTGGGGGATTAATGTAAGACAGAGCGTGATCATTTGTTTCTGGTTTTAGGCTGTCTCAGGTCACAGTGGGCTATTGCGCTCACAGGCCTTGTCGGGCCCCCCCACCTCAATCCATCCTGAACCTACTAAATCCCCCTGTGTCCTTCAAAACTCCTAATGGCTCCCCACTGCATAGCCTCCTCTGTCTGACATTACTGCACATCGATATAAGAGAATGACCTCTGCTCCCTAATTCAAAACTTCCCTTTCTGTCCCTAGGTCCAGTTCTGGAACCATCTCAAGAAAATTTCTGGAAACCTTGGCCCTGCGATCATTACCAAGAAACTTTCACCAAGTGAACCAGTAGACGAAGGCTTTGTGCCAGGTCTTGGGTTTAAAAAGATATACTCCATTCTTCTAGTCCAGTTTATAGCATGGTAAATACAAAATGGAAGGGAGCAGAATGAGTCTCCAGTTCACAGGAGACAAACTTCTAGCCCAGAGTTTTCAAACTATGGTCAAAAAGTTTGTCAACTGTACCTCAAAGGCTCCCAGAGTGGAGTGGCGACTAGGAGTGTGGTGGTCACTTGGGAAGGCTCTGCATTATTCCTCAGTCCACTCCTCTCTCCTCCCCTCCCTTCCCCCAACCAGATGAGAGCAGTTCCATTTTTACCTGTATTATTTATGTACACCCCTGTGTATTATATGATTTCTTTTTAGAAAAGGAGCCTGTAAACATAAGCAAACAATGTGTTCATCAGTAATTACAAAACAAGATAAACGTTAAAAACAGCATGAAAATCATTGCTCAAAACTTTAAAGGCCTTTCTTTTTCTATTTTTTGAGGGGCGGGGGGAGAGACAGAGAGAGGGGGGACAGAGGGTCTGAAGTGGACTCTACTCTGACAGCAGCTAGCTTGATGCGGGGTTCAAACTCATGAAGGACTTCGACCTGAGCCAAAGTTGGATCCTCAATCGATGGAGCCATCCAGGTGCCCCCAAAGACATTTCTTTATTGTTTAAGTAACCTTGCCTGGAAAGAAAGAAAGACCGGAGGTGGATTGGAAGCTGGAGGGTGAAAGAACGGGCACTTGCATACTTACATCTAGTCTCCAAAGCCAGAGATGCTTCCCAATAAATATAGGGCTTGCATTGAGCCTGAAGGAAGAGAGGCATTAAATAAAGGAATGGAGCATTCAGTCACTTGTGAACAGAGCATTCCAACCAGTGGTGGGTACTCCAGAGCAAAGGTGAGAGACAAAGGTGCTTGCAGGGGCTTGCTCAGCAAAGAAAGACTAAGGTTATGGTTTTCTGCATGTTTATTGAACAATGTATTCAGCACTGGGACAGAGTGGTGGATGAGATAGATGGGCACCTATCTGTGTTCATGGAGCTTATATTCTAGTAGGGGAAACAGACATGTGACTGTAATTTGATAAATGCTATGCTGGAAAAGTACAGGGTGCCACAAGATCATTCTTAAACTCTGTGACTTGTACCACCTCCTGGATTATGCATTTGTCCCCATCACTTCAATTACTCAAGGAATCACCTATTCTAATAGCACCGAGTCCTGCCTGGCTCTCCAAAGAGCCTCCCCCAACCCCCAAACAAGACAAAATCAAGTATGTCCTCTCAGTCACCTCCAATCTGGGACTGGTCCTCAGTCACTGTCTCTTTGTCTTTCGTGACCTTGATATTTTTTAAGAGTAGGGGTCAGTTGTTTTGTAA